CCCCAAAACCCCAAAACCCCAAAACCCCAAAACCCCATTAATTTTTAGGAATATTGAAGCACTGATTTAGCTGAGGGAGATCAGATAAGAATGAAGAAATCTGTACTAAAACCATCTCATTTAAAGAGTTCAGTTGTGAGCAAATTCTTATAGAAAATTAATTACTCAAAGTCATAATCTGTCTCAAGGTGAGGACCCGAGTCTTCAAATGAAGGATCGTCTGGATGTGGAACTTTATTTTGAATTTTATCTCTAGAACCTCCTTCCTTCTTTTCACCTAGAAGAGTCCTTCATTGGTCTATATTATCAAAATATGAGGTGTCTCTTAGTCCGAGGGGTAAAGATGAAAATAAGGTATTTTTAGAAACTTTTCCTACAGTTCCAGATACGGACTTCAGCTTTGATTGTTTTGGACTCTCCATTCAATCACTTAAATCCTTGGATGAATAGTCAAGCACTTTTCTGCTCGCAAGGTGCTTTTTAGTCGAGTCATTATTAGGAGTAACGATTACACTATCATCTTCTTCAAGAGAAGTCTTGTTCACCATCTCTATTTCTTCTCGAAGGTTATTCTTATTGGGAGTTTGGTGATCTGTGCCATTGTCATCACTATCATTTTGTTGTTTAAGCAATTTTTCAACTCTTGCCTCTAATTCCATTACATATTGATTTTGTTCATCAAGTTGATTCTTCAATTGTTTATTTACTTGCTCTAGTTCATGTATTTCTGTATCTTTCTTTTTAATAGATCTTTTAGCATGCCTTAATTCCTTCTTAACCACAGCTGCTTTTTCAGTACTCTTTTGCTCGATTATCTCATCGAACCGAGCAATGTCTTGTTTGACATCAACAAGCTTTTGCTTATACCTGTCTTTATCCTTGCCAAGCTTGACATATTGGGTAGTTAAGGACTGTAACTGTTCTCTCAAGTCAGAATTTTCACTTTTATATTGCTTCATCTTGCTCTTGTAGTGAGCGATTTCTGGGTTATACTCACTTGAAGATTCTTTCTTCTTGGAGCGATCAGGGTATTTTTGCATATTCTAAATAAATTTATTAGTTCAATTTTAAATTTATTAACAGGGGTTTTGGGGTTTTGGGGTTTTGGGGTTTTGGGGTTTTGGGG